TGACGATTTCTGAATTCACCGTCACCGCGTCCTCTCCCCCTCGTCTTCTCTCCCAAATGCTTGGAGCTTGAACCAAAGCTCTCTCAGTCAAATAATGTAAACAAGGTTAAACAGCCGAGTTACCAAAGGCGACGATCTGACATTCGAGTTACCGTAGGTAATCACCGAGTTACCAAAGCTCTCTCAGTCAAAAAATGTAAATAAGGTTACACAGTCGAGTTACCAAAGGCGACAATCTGACATTCAAGTTAGCATAGGTAATCGTCGAGTTACCAAAGCTCTCTCAGTCACAAAAATGTAAACAATGTTAAACAGTTGAGTTACCAAAGGCGATGATCTGACATTCGAGTTACCATAGGTAATCGCCGAGTTACCAAAGCTCTCTCAGTCAGAAAAAATGTAAACAAGGTTACACATTCGAGTTACCAAAGGCAATGACTCAATTTTTGACGATATATTATATACTGTTGTTGGCTGAAGTTCTGGAGATAGGTAATCGTCTGTTCAAGTGCTATACGGAGTACATCAGATTCTACCAGATAGACAGCAAATCCTCCTCCTAGCTAAAGCCTAAACCTCGAAGACAAACAGCATCTGGAAGACACACAAGCTATGTGGAAGACAGATAACAGAGCAAGAAATGCTTTCCAGAGAGCAAGAAAGCGTTTCTTGCTCCGTTATGCGGCTTCCACAGAGTATCTGGAAGACACGTGATATGTTGAAGACGGATAACAGTGAAAGAAACGCTAGCTATCTGGAAAGGGCATAGCATTTCTTGCTCTGCTACCCGTCTTTCCACATAGCATCTGTCTTGCACATAGTATCTGGAAGACACATGCTATGTGGAAGAGAGGGAACAGAGCAAAAAATGCTATCTGGAAAGGATCATAGCATTTCTTGCTCTCTGTCTTCCACATAGTATCTGGAAGACGCATGCTAAGTGGAAGACGGATAACACAGCAAGACATGCTATCTGGAAAGACCATAGCATTTCTTGCTCTGTTGCCCGTCTTCCACAGAGTACCTGGAAGATGTGCCATCTAGAAGACAAAGCAAGAAATGCTATCTGGAAAGGTGAAAGCACAGAAAATCTGCAAGCCCCATGCTATGTGAAAAGACTGATAACATCTGTCTTGCACATCGTATCTGGAAGCCAGATGCTATGTAGAAGCCAGATGCTATGTGGAGGCCAGATGCTATGTGGAAGCCAGATAACAGATCACGAAATGCTATCTGGAAAAAGCTCAGGCTGGTACAGGCAGTGTATCTGATCTGATGACCCCCCTTAAAGAGGGGTTCAAAGGTCTTGTGAAGACCCCAATTCTACAATAATTTTTGTTCCAGCATTTTTTCTTTTTTTTAAGTCATATTATTTCATTACCTTACCAAAGCTTGACGCGCCGGTGGGATAACGAGCAGAGAAGTAGAAGTACAGCAGATCACAGTAGAATTATTTCTTCCCCATACCATGATGGGGCCATCATTGCGATCTCGACCTTAAGGCACAAAAATACATTACAAACAGCTAGGAAGGCAAACATCTCATAGAAGAGGCCGAGGAGATTAATAATAATAAAAAAAAAAAAAAAAAAAAAATCCTGCCGGTAACTCACCGATGACTCCAGTGGTCTGTCACGGCACACAGAAGGTTTGGCGTTGCACCTTCTCTCCCTTGTACTTCATTCGACACTGGGCCCGGTTCCGTGCCGCTGCAGCTCCCAAACACATATTAGAAAGCAGTAAGAAAAGACGCACACTTCAAAAAAAAAAAAAAAAAAAAAAGAAAAGATAGGCATTGACAAAAGCATGTCCAGGTGACACCAGCATCACCATCCAGCAACACAGCCTTTTTCATACATCACACCACAGCCAGGTGCTGGATAGCACTGGCTTGCAATATGCACTCCGACCCTTTTTTCACCTTTTTCTGCATTCCATACGCAAGGGGATACTCTGATGAAGACAGGAAATGTTAATCTTGGAGAAGTAAAATAATATAGCATATCATTTGTTAAATACAATATTAAAGCACTTATAGAAGGAGCATCCACAGATGCTAGATCCAAAGGAAAATTATGAGCATTACGTTCATGCAAGTCTCACCTAGTAAAGAAAGATAGATGCCAAGCAACAAGTGCAGCAACCCTCCTCCTCGTCGTATCCAATCCAAGAAATCCGCAGAGGAGCACGGTGAGGGGGAGGCGAAAGAAGCGAATGTCAGATGTGCAGAGATTTGTTGATCAGTTCTCTCTCTCCTGCTCTCCTGCATCAAAACAGCTCGACCTTCTCACACCATGATATTCGACAGCAACAGATGGCATGCCCAGATACGAGAGCCAGACGTCGATACAGGGAGCCATGCGGGAAGCAGTGGTTCCACCACAAAGCAACACGGAGACAGCGATGTGAGGGAAGAGATTCTCTTATCTCATATAGAACATGTCATGCACAGCAACGAGCACGCCAGACAGTAAAGTTGATAAAACACAAAAGAGAAAACACAAAAGGGAACCAGTATGAGGGCAGGAGTGCAAGACCAAAGCGACACAGAGAGGCATGAGGAAAAAACTGACACGGGTATGTCCGAAAAGTTGAGAAAACACAATTCCAGAGTCACTTCAAGAACAAGGAGAAACAGAGAGTTCAAAAACAAGGAGAGACACAGAGACAGAGGCATGAGGAGAAGAGAGGAGAAAACCGACAAAGGAAATGTCAGAAAACACGAAAGACGAACAGTTCCAGAGTCAGTTCAATAACAAAGAAAAGACACAGAGACAGAGGCATGAGGAGAAAACTGACAAGAATATTTCAGAAAACGAAAAGGACAGAGATTTCCAGAGTCACGAAACATCAGGATCGAAATGCCCCGGAGAAGTGGAGATGGTTCGGGCCCCCGACAAGAAAATCTTGCCGCTGACCAGCATGATGAGACTACGGACTTCAACCGAATAGAATGCCCCGGTCATTAGAGAGGCACTTGGGGCTAATGGGCGTTCTATTCGGAGAAAAAAACACTGATGACCCATCACAAGGACCGGTCCCGAAGACAGCGGCCTACAGACAATGCACCACTATTCAGTCAACAGAACACCCAAGGACCGGTCCCGAGGCCGGCGCCCAAGGACCGGTCCCAGGGACGGCACCCAAGGACCGGTCCGGGGGACAGCGCCCAAGGACCGGTCCCGAGGAACGGTTTCGTTTGCAAGCCGTTGCTGGATGACCCCAGCATCCGACTGAATACCGCACGCACACATTATCGTGGCCACAACCACACTATCAGAATGATCATTGATGCCAATGTTGGTGGTGGTGGGGGGGGGGGGGGGGGGGGGCTAACCACCATTATACATGTAATAGTTTCATCATGCACAACCATCAGCCAATCATGACTCCGCCGGATTACTGCAGTGCTTCTGTCAGACTTCTACATCCCATAACAAGCATCTTGGGGCTTCGCTATCCGGCGACATGCATCTTGAACCCAACGGGGTCTCTCTCCCATCACAGGTGATCTTGAGAGCAAGCACGCCCTTCGTTCGACCACAGTTGGTTCTAATCACAGTGTATGGCGGGTACGGCATGAGTGGCTACCGAAGGACTGCACTTATCAAACGGCATCCGCGCAGCCAGCAGCAGTGAAGAGTGTGATAGCATCACCGGTCCCCTTAGCAGATTCTCTGCCCGAGGAAGGAGGCCACAACATACACTGTCTCCATCACACCATTGAAAACGTATGTGACAAGTTTCTTGTGGCGTTCTTTGTCAGACCGACAACAACTATAGGTGACGCCACAAGAAACTCGTCACATACGTTTTCAACGTTTTCACACCGTTGAAAATGCATGTGACGAGGTTTTTGTATCATTGTGTTCAGCTATTTCGCGTGACCGATAGCTCCATTACGCTAACAATTGCAGGGCCCTGCATCATCACAGGCGTCGCTGTAAAGAATCTGTGGTTTCAAGCTTCTTACGATCGATTGCTATTAGTGCAGCTGCATGATCTCCAGAAATATTGTGAAAAGATCTCCTGCGGAAAGATCTCCTAGTCAGAACTGCATCGCGTAGACGTTCATACCACCCACCCTTCCGCCTTAATACAAACTTCGTACTACTACCTCCGCTACCCCCGCCAACTCTAAAACTTGCCCCTAACTAACCCCCACCCCCTCTTTTTCTTTTTCATGCATCTTTCCTGCATAGAATCCATAGATGCTACATACTCTCCCTCCCCCCCCCCTGAAGCCTTCACCCACCCTTGCCCCATCTGTGTGTTATGCCCACCCCACCCACCCCCTTTTATCCCTTCTAACTTCCCCCCGAGCATTCATCGAGCACGACTGCAAGGTAGCGATCAACCATCTGAAGCCAGGGTACCAAGAGGCTCAACCCCACAAGAAGGATCAAGGGCTTCGATGGGGCCAGTGCTGGGTGAAACAAAACACAGGTTTGCTAGCTTCTTCTTGCCCACCCGCCTTACCTTAGGCCAAATGAGTTGAACCGCTAGTAGTACACGGCCCCAGCGCTGCTGAAAATGAACTTGACGCCCATCCGAATATTTCGGGGCTACGGCCTACCCGACCAGCCCAAAAAAAAAGAAAGAGGGCGTCGGCGACGGTTCGGCAAAGCTAGCCGCACAGTGGGGCGCCTCCAGGCCCACAGGTGTACTGGTCGTTTAACGCAGGTTTGAGCTAGTAGACGAGTCTGTCCTCAATGTCTTTTCCAGGTTTCCTTAATCCCGAGGGTTACAAATCCTTCCCAAAAGCATTATTTGACAGGTTCCGAATCAAACTCACTGGCCACCATCATGGCTGCAAACCATTCAACTTGAGAGCTCAGATGATACCTCCCCTTCCTACCATGCTGCAGGTGTTCCATACAAGCCCAAAATAAAACCACAGAATTCCAAAACAAGAACCCCAAAAAACACACTGTTGAGGGGAAGGGGAAAAGGAGAAAGACAGCTTTCACAAAGCATAGACAGAGCCTGAAGCTCACCAGCCTTTCACGAATGCGAGAACTTGTCAGCATCTTCAATTTCCTCCTCTCTCTCTCTCTCTCACACACACACACACACACACACACACACACACACACACACTACTTCCACCCTAACCATGATGGGCCAGGAGATTATTAAGCAACACGTTTCTTCTGAAATGAAGAGACGAGTGATGTGTTTTGTCATCTTTCCCTGGCTCTTCTCAACACACCAGAACTGAAAAGCCCAGCGAGCTAGATGGGCATTTAACAGGAATTCAGTCGTCCACTTTGACTTCCATCGCTCCGCCGTCCCAAGTCCCTCCCTTTCCGACCACCCAACGTCAAAATTGACCATGCCGTAAACGTGTATCCAATGTCCATGGACAGCGTCTGACAAGAGACAAGTACCCTGATCTTTCTGTGCACAAGCAGCAGCAGCTCCCCACCAACTTCCTGCCTCGTTCTGACGACAACAGATACAAGACTGCATCTTTCCTCGAGCGCGCAGCCGCTTTAAGCCCCTTCAGATCTTTCCAACAACTTTTCCAGAGCCCCTTCAGACAATTCTTGGTATTGGCCTCGGAGCATGAAAAAGATGCCTGTCATTAAGGAGAAAAAACAGGTAGCAAGGAATTCTTCCCAATCTATGGCAACATTCTTCCAGTTTAAAAAAAAAAAAAAAAAAAATGTGCAGCGGGGTGCATCCTCGCATCCTCCCCATGTGTGGAAGAAGAGTGTTCCGCCTAACCTGTCTTCTTTCTTTGCCGTTCCCATATGCCCAGGGCAAAGCGACTTTCGAAAGTCTACCTCTTTTACCACATGCACGCCTGCGTCGACAATCCAAGAGAGATGCATGCATACACAGTTTCCTGTTTCATCTGCACACATGCGCCTCTGGGGAGTGTAGATGCAGATGTGGGTATTGAAAGGATTTCATGCATTTCCCAGCCCGCAGAATCCCTGCAGTCCAAAGTCCCATGCGTCGTAGCCAACCCGGTAGACCCAGTCGTACGGTGGCAACCGTAGTGTCTGATAGGCCCCGTCCATAAAAGTCAGTTGGATCTGGCAGTATGTGCGCTAGCCCATGCCCACAACTGCATGTACATCTCCTCCGTCCAACTAAACCATATGAGATGTCCGAATAGTATGCACAAGCAGTCCACATGCATGCCCTTCTTCTCCCCGTACATGACAGCATACAGAGTGACGCCGTACATCGCGATGATGCCGTAGATCACCATGGTAGCCAAGAACCCAATCGCATCTTCTCTTCCTGTCCCTTATGAGATATGATAATAGCGGAAGGAAAACATCTGGAACTAATCCCATGCCCCTTGCAACCCCMCCCCCTTCAAAGTTCCCCCCCCCGCCCCCCCCCCCGGGGTTTCTATTTCCTTCCTCTTCCCCCCCCGTACTCTCAAACCTGACCTAATCCACCGACGAAGGAATAGAACTAACCTCTACAGCAGGCTTGCCATGCTTGGCATCTTACCCTAATCCCCACCAAGTCTTTTCGAACAAGCTCTCGCCTCAACAACATGCTCGACTCTACCGTGATTTTAGAACTGCACATATTTATCCAACGGATTGACATACATGTACTTTCACATATGTTGCCAGGGTTTCACATATGTTGCCACCCTGTCACCGCGATCAACTAACTGAATTACTGATTTCAGAAGCGTACAGAGACAAACGAGAAGAGCTGCAGCAAAAGCCACGGCTTTCTCACACTTCGTACCGTTATAGCCAAATGGGCTGCTGCTGCAATAACATCTCCGAACAACCGTTCAAATCGCCATGAAGGCAAGAAATGGAGGGAGGGTCAGGAGGAGGAGACACAGGTCTACAAGCAGAGATTGATGACAAAACTCTGAAAAACAACACAGCCTATGTAGTTCCTGCGCAGTTTCCAGCACGAAGGACCCCACGAGAGAGAGGGAGGGGGGAGAGAGAGAGAGAAAAGGGAGAGAGGGGGAGACAGAAGCGGGGAGAGAGAGAGAGAGAGAGAGAGAGAGAGAGAGAGAGAGAGAGAAGAGAGAGAGAGAGAGAGAGCAGTTTCATGACTAAATAGAGCAAACTCTACCATCTTTTCGAGCAATGGAAGCTGAAAGATGTGTCCTGAGGCAAGAAAGTGGAAGGAACAGCACCGGTGGCACCAGTTGCAAACGGTAGAAGCGGTACAGCTGGGGTAGACATACAGGTTTGGTTTAAGAGAGGGAAGAGAGGGAGAGCACCCAGCAGCTGGAAGGAGGAGGACATTCCGAACCACGTGGCACGTAGGTGGCCCAACGGGATGGGTGATTGGACAACGCAGCAGGAGATTTTCCACCTCTTGCAGGCTGTCCATCCAATGGAAGACGGATGTTGTGGACACAGCCTCCGCTCCCCCATTACTTTTTAGACAACACTCCCCTTGCACGTAGGACAAAGTTTGCTCTGTCTCAGCCATTTGAAAATACAATCGCCATGGTACATGTGGCAGCAAGGGAGGGTAACAACCTCCTCCCCATCGTTGTACTCATACATGCAGATAATGCAGACCTCACGATTAGCACCTTCATCGTCATCACATTGACAAGCCTCTTTCCCTTTGGCCGAAATTGAGTTCGCTTCCCCATCCCTGCCCTTCCTCTTATCCTTGAAGATCCACTTAGGCAAACCGGAAAGCCTCGCCTCAGGGACACCGACAGACACACGACCTAAACTCTCTTCTAGTGCTACCATGTCCTCGTAACTCATGTCTGGCGACCCATGACCACCTCCTCCTCCTCCTCCTCCTCCTCCTCCTCCTCCTACACCTCCTACTACTCCTCTTCCTATTGCTTCGCCCCTAAATCCACTTTCCAGTAGATCAAACAATACGTCATTGGCATCCGACCAAGCCCCCGGCCTCGCAGCAGCCTCTGCGTCCCTCTCTCTGCTCTCACGGCCACTACCCCACCAATCAAAATCAAGCTCCTCTTCTCCCCTTCTTCCTCCTCCTGCTGCTAATCTTGGGCCCATTTCCGCTGTAAATGCGTCTTCTCCGAATCGTGGGCTGTGCCGCACCCGCACCCGGAGCCCTCCGCGTCTGTGCGCAGCCGACCAACTTGGTCCCGACGACAACGACGGCCCCGACGATGACACACGGTACGTCGGTGAGTGGAATGGAGGCCTTGTGCCCCTCCTCACCACCCCCCGATTTGACACGTGGCAGAGGTGCACTGTTCCACGTGGCACAAGTCCCGCCTCCTGCAGTGTCTTTCTGAGTGCCTCCTCATCGAAGTACGCTCCATCCTGCGATGGTATAATTAGCCCGAACGCCGCGATGTCTTCTCCATCTGGCACAACACTGTTCCTGACCATCTCCAAAGAAGCCAAGGCAGGAAACGAGTGTCTAAGGACCGTCCCATCCTCCAGTCTTATACTCAAATCGCTCTGCACCATCTCATCCTGCTGCTGCTCTTGCTGCCTTGGTCGAATAGTGGAATCGCGACCTTCAATGGGAACTTCACGAATCCCTTCTCGCTGCGGCTGGCTCGCTGGAGCACCGTGTCGGCCAACAGCGGCACCGTCCCTGCCAGCTCCTCCTTCTGCGCCTCCACGGTGATTTCTCTCATTCGGTGTCACCGTCGGTCCCGTCAGTCCCCCATCATGCAGTTCTCCTGTTGATCGGGCAGCGGCACCATGTCTCTGAGCTCTCTCTTCTCTTTCCCAGAAATAACTAGACGAAAAGAACCCCAAATCCTCGTGCACCTGGTGCGATCTCCACACCCTTTCCCTCGTGTTCCTACTGTAGGTTGTCGAGGAAGAAGACCGCGAAGAATCAATGCCCAAATTTGCACCTTGGGGACGACCTCTCCTATCCCCTTCTTCTGATGATGCTTCTGCAAGTCTCCTCATGGCATCTAGCCTCCTCCCCTCTTCAACGCCTGGCTCGGGGGACCCTTCCCTGGCCCCTGACCCCCCCCGACTAGCACCCTCCTCCTCCTGCTTAACCTCCCCTGACTCCCTCACGTTGACCAGGTGTCCATGTTGTCTTTCAAGCTGCTCCATCGTCTCCTCTCTTCTCTCATGCGAGCCCCCTGCGCCGCTCTCTACGTTCCCGCTGCCTCCTCCCTCCTCTCCTGCACATTCTTCCCTGTCCCTCCTTGTCCCTGATAAGCGAGCCTGTGCAGCCTCCATAATCCTCTGCCTTAACTGTTGCCGCCTCTCTTCCACTAGCCCACGTCCTCGTCCTCTTCCGGCTCCTCCCCTTCCCCCTTCTCCTCCTCCTCTTCCTCCTCCCATATTTTGTTCACGTCGGCAGCTCGTTGTCTCCTGCACGGGGAAGCGTGAGGGCCCGCAAGTAGCTTGAGCTTCCCCTAACCCTCCTCCTCGTACACCTCCTCCTCCCCTTCCCCCTCCTTCCCCTCCCATGTTTCGTTGATCCCAACTGGGATAAGGTCGCCATCCAGTTCTCTGCCTCTCCTCCGTGAGGTAGCCATTGGGACCACCCATCCCAGCCGTCGAAGGTTCCGAGCAATCGCCCCCCCCGGAGGTCTCAGGGGCCTTCTCTCGACCGTTGAAGGCCCATGGCCGCTGCCGGGAGTGCACCGGCTGCGCCCAACCCCCTCCTGCGGCTCCATACGTTCGTTTACATCTTTCTAGGCTCCCATCCGCGCCATTTTCCATCAGGTCAGGTCTTCCTACTTCCACGTGATTGGTTCCACGTTGCCCGAGGGTATCACTCGCATCTTCTGCCACGTGTCGTCCACGTGGTGCAGTACTGCTTCCCCCCACGTCAGAGAAGGGCGGAGCAGTGGTCAAGTGGGCGGCTGCCGCTGCTGCTGTAGCCATATGGGGCGCCATCCTCGCATGAAAGCCACCTCCCCCTGCGCCGGTCCAAGCACCTACCCTCCTCTCCTCCTCCTCTTCGCGTCCCGCTGGTCGATGAAATCCGTAATCCAAGTCGCCATTGGCACCCCCTCTTCGACCGCCGAGGGGGGCATTGAGGGGGCCATCAAATCCAGGCGCCGACAACGCGCCCATCGTACGACCCCCGAGGCCATTAGCCACCACCTCCTCCTCCTCCTCCTCCTGTTCTCCTCCCCTCCCCATCTCCCGCCGACGCATCTTCACGACTATATTACCTCGCGGCACGAGCTCCGCCTCTCTCAATGTCACGCTCAGGGACGCCTCCGTAAAGAACTCACGCTTAGGAAAAGGCGTAAGGAAGTAGACCACCTCCTCCTCCTCCTCCTCCCCACCTTCCAACGCCGCTGCTGCGTTTCTCACCCTGCCGTTCTGCCCCTCGGCGCCTTCCCGCCGATGCCCCACATTCCCGCGCATCGACGCGGCCTGCTCCATTATTCTCGCGGTCTCCGCGATGTGGCGCTCCGTCGCGCGCCTCAGAAGGTCGGGATCTCCCTCGGGCGGCTGTCTCGACATAGAGAATGAAGCGCCCGTGAACGGCATCATGCGTCGCGACATTCTCCCTCCCCCCCTCCCTCCATATCGTACCTCTAAATTATTCCTCACTGCCTCCCGCGCCAGCATGCTATACACGTCCCTCTCAACGGAACGCCATCTCTCGCCTTCACCCAACATCGCCCCGCCTCCGCTTCCGGAACCAGGTCCCCCTCCTCCACCGCCCACCTCCGCTCCCCTGCTTCCACGTGGCCGCAGCTGCGCCACCACCACCTCTCTCACCTCCCTTAGGGTGGAATCCGCCCTGAAGTTCGCATTGATGGTGACCCCTTGAGGGCAGCGAATCCGCAAAGCCACTGGCTCTGCGTCCTCCGAGGGTGGCGGTAGTGGCGGCGTCGGCAATCGACATGAGGTGGAAACTCCCGCCATTTTCGATCCCGACCCCGATCCCGATGACCCGCTCCCGTCGCCGTTGGCCTGCCTGTTGTTGTCGCCACGTGGCAGGGACTGAAACGCAACGCTACTGTTCCCGTCGGGCGGATTCTGCGGCATCGTCGTCGTCTTGCCGCCGCCAGCCGTTCTCAACCCCGATCCCGACGACCCACTCCCCAACGTGTTACCCTGTGTGCTTTCGCCGCCACGTGGCAGCTGAGGATAGCCATCAGTGTTGTCCGCATTAGGGTTCCGAAGCATCCCCTGTCTGCTGTCGCCACCACGTGGCGGATGAGGATAAGCCGCCGAATCGTTGCTCAGGTTAGGGCTCCGAGACACCCCCTGTCTGCTGTCGCCACCTGGCAGCTGCTGAGCATAAGACGCGGCGTTGTGTCTGCTGTCGCCACGTGGCGTCTGACGAGGATGATAAACCGCCGTCGCCATCGCAATACCGTTGTTCGCATTAGAGTAGTTCCGTGCGCGCATCTTCCCGCCACCCGGCCCTTGACATTCCGACGACTCGTTCCCGCCACGTGGCAGGGGGGGAAAGGGTAAAGCATCATCCACGTCAGCCGGGCTCCGCGGCATTTTCCCGCCACTGGGATATTGAAATTCCGACGATTCGTTCCCGCCGCTGTTGCCCTGCCTCTTCTCGCCACGTGGCAGCGGAGGAAAGCCAAATAAAGCATCATCATCATCATCATCAACATCCGCGCTAGCGCTCGCTAGCGTGTTGCCGCCACCACCTCCTCCAGCCCCCCATCTGTCATCGTCATAATCATTCAATCCCGATCGCGACCCGCAGCCTACGGGGCCCTGGCCATCATTCAATTGCACTCCGCCCGCGCTCTCTGCCTCTCGCGCGGCCACTCCGCCGCTTTCCGCCGCGCTACGTCTCCTGCTCTCATCGTTCTCCTCTCGAATCCGTCTTCTCTGTCTGTCTGTTTCCCTTTCTCCGAGGGGCTGCCTACCGTAATTCCTCAAAATGGAGGGTCCTGTGGACCCTCCCATCACTTTGCTCATGGCCGACTCGTCGTCGTCGCCGCCGCCGCCGCCGCCGCCGCCACCTGCCAGCCCCCAGCTTTCCGCGCCTCCGCCTCTCGCCGCCGAGGGTCCGCCTCCAATCCCGACCTCAAATCTCCGCGGGCGCTCATCACCAGCTTCATGATGACTCAACCTCCGCTGCCTCTCACCACTGCCCTCCTTCTGCTCCCATTTCGCCTTCAACGCGTTCAGGCAGCGCCGGTCTCTCTGCCCATCTGCCGCCGGCGGCGCGGCATGGGCGGAAGCCAACGACGAGAAGACCGTGCTGGCAGTGTCTTCGGCATTCCCCTGTCGCCCCTCCGATGCTCCCACGTGGCACGATGACGTCCCCTCCGCCTGGCGGGGCGGCGGCGCAGGAATTTCCTCCCCACTCCCCCCAGCGGGCGATGACGTCGACCCCGCGGGAGTTTCCTCCCCATCGGGAGCGACGACGCCGAAGTCGGCCGCTCGGCGCGCAGTTCCCGCGGAGGGAGAGACACGTGGATGATGCAGTGAGGACGGAGAGAGGAGGAACGAAGGAGAAAGCACACGTGGTGGTCCCCCACAAGCTTTCCACTCCAGCAAAAGATCTACCGCATCCTCCATCCTTGATCCATGCACTAATGCCATCTGGCACCAGTCCCTAGGGAATCCCATCATCTCTAATTGCTCAGCCATCGCCAACTACCACCACCTCCTCCTCCTCCTCCTGCTGCTGCTGCCTTCTTGAGGCACTTTCTCTCCTACCTTAACTTCGTCTCCTCCAGCTGTTTCTCAATGTTCTTCTCCTGGCTCCTTTTGTTTCGTCTTTTTTTTTTTTTCTCCTACCACCATTCGTCTTTTTTTGTTGCCGCTCTCCTCTTCAAGCTTCCCCTCCGCCTTTCGGCAATTTCTCTTTTATCTCCCTCCCTCCTTTTCTTCCCCTTTTCTCCAGTCCCACTAATCCGCGTCCCCCCCCCCTCTCCCTCTCCTCGTCCTCCTCCTCCTCCTAAGTACATAACTCAGTTTTTATTGCGTACAATCCTCCTCCTCCGCCTCCTTGTCAAATACTTTTTCTGCTAATCAGCAAAAAAAAAATGTTGCCGTCAACTTCAAAAGCTCACCTCCCTCCCCCTTTCATTTTTTTTCCACATAGCAATTCAATCGGTTCCTTCTCAAGGAATTATGTCCACATGCCGCCCACCCGCGCACCCAACCGCCCGCCCGTTCCTTACTTAGGTCAAAAAAACGGGGAAACACTTGCTCGTACTTTTTCAACACAATCTGGCCCTAATTACGGTCAGATTGGCACGAAGACCTACAGGTAGTCTCACTACGACCCCCCTTTTTTACTGCCTTCAAAATAACAAAAAAATCGGACACGGAAACGGTGACGGAAACGGTAACGGAACGGAACGGAACAGTACACAGCGGCAGAAACGCCTCGTGCAATCTCACATCTCGTTGCACTCGCCGCTCTGCTAATCAACACCCACTCGTCGTCGCTCTCTTATTGCAGTCGGGATCCCGACTTCACCACCATCTATCTACGACTTGACCAGCCCACCACTTCCTCGTCGCTCTCTTATTGCAGTCGGGATCCCGACTTCACGACTTCATGGCAATTCCGTACACTTCATCAGAACCCCAACACTCGTTGGGAAAAAAAAACAACTTTGATATGAATGCATATGAATGCATAGGCCTCGAGCACCCAACTTGTCAATTATCAGTTCTCCATTCCCAATTCCCAATTCATGGGTGAAAAAAAAAAAAATCACGAGTCCCGATTTCCCGGCACCCCCCAGCGCCCCCTCCGACTTCAGCCGGTCGGAAATGTCGGGAATTTCAACCCCACCTTCAGAAGGTAAGGTTGAGAGGTTATAACTATGCGAGTCTGAGGGTGTACTAACACTAGGACTTTTCGACTGAACTTATGACGTGATTGGGGTCAAATACATTCCAGTCCAGCCGTAATTACGGTCACGTTCATCCTAGGAAAACCCGTGTGAGTATGCTTTTTGAGAGTGAAAAAAAAAACCACCATGGATTACGTAACCTGTCCCATCCATCATCATGACATTGTGTTCCTCTTAACCGTCTTCATGGGGGGGGCAGCAGCACACGTTCGTTTATCATCTCCAGCCAGCTTGCTGGACTTCTTATTAAATGATGACGTCAACGCTGGAACCTTCCATGAACAAACAACTGCAGACGACAATAAACCCTCTCCGCCTCAAGGCCTTTTTCTTTTTTTTTTTTTTCTCCCCCGCCTCTAAGGCTAGGTTAAGCACTTCGTATCATCTCTCTCGACGCAGGATAGCTGACATCATCATCATCATCATCATCATTTTATCCTCATCATCATCGTCACCACGTGTCAACCTTGCCTATCATTCATCGCCACGTGTAGACCTTGAATGACCCCCATGCTCGGAAATCACACCCGTATCCTCCCCAGGGTGGGACCGTGCACCGCATCCGGCCTGGATTTTGAATCGTCTACAGGCAAAACTCGTCAAAATCTTGGAAAGGGCAAATTTGCAAAACTGGCCAAACTGACCAAAAAACTGGTCATCTTGTCCTCCTCTCCTTCCGACTCCGTGCCAATTACTTATGATGGGCGACCCGCAAAACGACAAAAATAATCTGAGCGACCCGCAAAACGACAAAAATAATCTGAGCGCGCGCTTCTCCCTCCAACCACCTGACAAAAGAGCCGGGAAAGACAATAGGGAAAACGATACAGAGCCAAAAAAAAACAAAACGATACGGAGAAGATCGATTAGTATCACCCCTGCGCAAGAATGACACGCATCCCCCAAAAAAAAAAAAAAAAAAAAGAACGACACGCATGTATGGTGCGGTCGACGGTCGCACCTTGGCTAACGCGCCCGATCCGATCAGAACTCGGAATACTGAAAAAAAAAAAAAAAAAA